TCAACAACAACAACAACAACAACAACAACAACAACAACAACAACAACAACAACAGCAGCAACAACAACAACAACAACAACAACAACAACAACAACAACAACAACAACAACGACCACCACGGCACAACGGACGCTCCGGCCGCGGAGGCCGCCGGGGACCGGCCGCAGCGCCACCGACACGGTCGACGGGGAAGGACCGAGCGACAGACGCGCCGTCTCACAGCCGGCGGCAGCGGCGTTAGCAACCACCCACTACATAGTTCGATAGTGGGTACTCCCCTCCAGCCGGCCTCAGGGCCGCGACGTGTGACCCACCTATTTATACGAACGCTTTCCCACTCTTTGGAGGGTCCACGTACCCGACAAGTGCAACCCACCCACGGGCTCGGGTCGTGTGAATGTGTGATGTGATGTGATTTAATTTGTTTTGTTTGCGTAATACGCAACGGTGCCGTAGGCTCTGCTGTCTTGTGCTCTTGTGCTTTCTTTTACTTCTGCTTTCTGCCTTCTCCAACTGAGCAACTACAGCAACTGGTCTGGCAACCATGGGGTGTCGCTTGCGGGCAACCCCACAAGCGACACCATGCAAAGTATCAACGAGAAAAAAATACAAATTGCACACAATGATCACTCCCATCAACCACAAGAAAGCAAGAGATGGTGCGGCGGAACTGCGTGCTTGTGCTGGTGGTGTTTGTGCTGGGTGTGGCAGCCCTCACGCTCCTCACATCGCTCTTCACGGACAGCACCCAGCAACTACAGCCACAACCTGCAGACGCAGAGAACCCAGACGCCCCTCAACATCAACAACAACAACAACAGCTGCAGCATCAACAACAACAGCAGCAAGCTGCAGATGCACCACCCTCCCAACAGCGCGATTGCAGGTGGAAGGAGGAGGAGTTGCGGGACTATGTGGTGTACTTCAGCAACGTCACGGATCCAGGCCATGTGCACGCCGATCTTCGAGGCGACTCTTTGGTGCCGCAGGTGCGGGCGTGGCTTGGACTGGCTGCGCGGCTGCTGCAGAGGGCCGACGACGCGTACACGTGCGACGACGTGCGGGCGCACATCTATGCGGCGCAGCCGCTGTTCAACGCGGTGGCGCGGCTGCTCTACGCATCGTACGAGCCGCCGCGGCTGCCGGTGGCATCATACGTGTTCAAGCGCATCGAGAGCTACCGGCTGGTGCTGCGTCGGTTACGGGAACAGGAGGGGTCCGGCGACGTGCACGTGATTGTGTCCATGGACCGGTTCAACCTGGCGTACCTGCGCATGCTGACGGAGGAGCTGACCTTCTGCACGTGGCAGCCGATTGTGCACGAGCTGGAGTGGGAGACGTTCCAGCAGATGCAGCGCGACAACATGGTGCGCGTGGCGGTGCCGCTCGCCTTCCACTGGTGGTGGCTGCAGGACACGCTGTGGACGCGGCTGCTCAAGGGCTACGACGGCGACGTGATGTTCCTGGAGGAAGACCACGTGCTGCTGTCCAACGCGTCGCTGCAGCTGGCGCGGGCGATGATGCGCATCAAGAATCGCGGCGAGAGCCAGTGCGACACCACCTCCCTCTCCATGACCGCCGTGCACGTGTTTGGGCAGATGAACCGCTTCCACCACGTGTTCCGCGACCCGGACGCCGCCGTGGTGGAGCAGCCCTTCTTCTCCAACCTCGCCTACGCCTTCAACCGTAGCGTGTACGAGAAGCTGCGTCCGGAGCGCAAGCGTCGCATGGACTGGGACTGGAACATCAACCTCGCCTTCACGCGCGCGCCCAACGGCACGTTTGCGCGGCGGCACCTGCGGCCCGTCCGCAAGCGCGTGCTCAACATCGACATGTGCAAACCGAGCGGGGGCATCCACGAGCTGCGCGTGTCACCGCACCTCGCATACGAGTACTGCGGCACGAAGCAGGGCGGCGCATACGACCTCGACAGCCTGCCGGAGTCGCACATTACGCTGCCTGCGCAGGTGGACGTGTACCGGTTTGAGGGCCGCTACCCAAAGTGGCTGTGGGTGCGGGAGATTGTTGACCCGCAGTTCATCATCGCGTGTGGCGACGGCGCTGCGTGGAAGCCCGCGCGTAAGGTGTGTGTGCACGAGGACACGGGCGACGTGATTGGCTGCCCGGCTCAGTTTGCATTCAAGAGTGAGGGTAGTGAAGGGGGTGACGGTGGTGAGGGAGGGGGCGGTAAGGCTGATAGTGAAGGGGGTGGTGGTGATGGTGGTGGGGATGAGGGTGCAGTGGTTGAGGAGGAGAAGGTATGTGAGCCGCAGGATGAGCGGTGGTATCCATATGTAGGTAGCAGCATGACAGGCAAGGCATGATGAGGAATGGTGTGATGTGTGTGTCTGTGTGTGTGTGTGTGTCTATGTGTGTGTGTGTCTGTGTGTGTGTGTAGGCTTTTCTGTCTCTGTGTGTGTGTGTGTGCGTAAACTTTTCTGCGTAAGTTTTCTGTGTGTTTCTCTCTGTGTACGTTTGTCTGTGTGTACGTTTTTCTGTATGGCCGTCCTCTGCATCATTGCTTGGTTGTGTGTTCGTTATTTAGCCAATCAGCTAGGCAGCTTCTTCGGTTACTCCTTCATTCATTCATTCACCTTGAAGGACCTTGCCTCTTCCCCTGTTTGGTTCATTCGCGAGAGCGTGGAAACTTCCTTCTCGCGTGTTTAATCATGCTGCCGTAAACAAGACAAGCTCTGACGAGGCAACACAGGCATGTGTGATGGTGTGATGGTGTGATGGTGTGTGTGTGTGTGTGTGTGTGTGTGTGTGTGTGTGTGTGTGTGTGTGTGTGTGTGTGTGTGTGTGTGTGTGTGGTGTGTCATTGCTGCTCGTCGTGTTTGGAAAAAAGTTCCGCTTCAATTGCCCCCCCCCCAATCCAAACACTTCAAAAAACAGGGGAACTAAAGTCGACGGTCGTGACATCGCAAGCAGCTACATAACGTTAGCCACGCGCATAGCAAGAACCAGGATGCAGCGCCCCCGCCCCCACACAAACACACACACAAACACACACACACTTCTCCCCGCCAGAGCATCACTGGCCAGCCTTGCGCGTTGCCATGGTGTAGTGAGCAGAAAGACCCATTGACTCGAACTCTTGCTGCGTCACGTTCTCTGGATCGATGGCGAAGCCGGCGTCAAGCAAGAGCTTGTCGATGACGTCGCTCCTGTGGTTGACAATGTCCACTTGCAAGCCCTCCTCAAAGTAAGGCTTGCCATCGCCAACCCAGTAGCCGAGCAGCAGCGGTGCGCCTGGTGCCAGCACGCGCGCCCATTCACAAAACGCCGCCTTCACCTGTGTTTCGTCCAGGTGGTGCAGCGCAAAGTAGCAGATCATGCCCGCACACGTGCCGTCGTCAATTGTGGGCAGTGACAGCATTGTACCCTGCTGTGCATCGTGTCCGACCGGCTCCAGTCGCGTCTTGGCAATGGCCACCATCTCCGCAGACACATCAATGCCAAGCAGCCTTGGTTTGCGGGCACCCTGCTCCTGCGCCATTTGCTCTGCTGTAGCTGTGGCCTGACGTTGCGTATCGTCGCCGGTGTGCTGTGAGAGCTTGGCATCCACAATCTCCAGCATGTTGCCGCTGCCGCATGCCATGTCAAGCACCCACCAAGACGAGCGCCCACGCTCCATGTCCGGGGCGGGGCGATCGCACATCACTTGGGCCACGGCGTCTGTAAATTGGGCCAGCTGTTGCTCGTACGAAGGCGTCTTCACTTCCGCAATCATGACCTCGTCATATTCCTTGGCACACGCGTTGTAGGCTTTTGCCACAGCTTCCTCGCTCGCAAGCGGCATCGTTGTGTGTGTGTGTGTGTGTGTGTGTGTGTGTGTGTGTGTGTGTGTGTGTGTGTGTGTGTGTGTGTGTGTGTGTGTGTGTGTGTGTGTGTGTGTGTGTGTGTGTGTGTGTGTGTGTGTGTGACGAGACAGAGACGAGCAAAGGTCCGCGCCCTGCCGATAATTCATAAAGATTTTCAACAATCTTCCCTAAGTGCCGCCGAATCCAACGCTGCTCACCGCCAGCAACAAACAAAACAGCACACAAACGCACTCTCACTGTCTGAAGCGGAGTCACACCAGCACAATGCCACCAAGACAGCTGACGACAAAGACACACACCTCGCGTCACATGATGCGTTGTGATGCGCTAGCAGCGTGGCACGCTTTGCGGTGAGTGCTACATTTTTTTTTGCATTTGTGTGTGTCCTGCGATGTTAACGAGACCTTGCTTCATGTCAAGACATACCACAAGTGCACAAGCAAGCAAACCAGCAAGCAACCCAGGTATCATGCAAGCAACGTCGTCACTCACGCTCTTCCTCCACTCTCTTCTCGCTGCCCTTGATAGCCGTGGTACAGCAGGGATGATATCATGAGGAGCATATTCCTTTGTATTCCCTGACGACTCGAGCCACTGCACGCAGCACGCTTCGACTCAGCAGAGCATGACAGCGCACAAGCACCTCCCACACTGCGCCAACTTCTTCGTTTGCGAAAGCAAAGATACAGAGTCAGTCACCACACGCACACACGCGCGCAGCGCCGATGACCTGTCTCGTTCGAAGAAAATAACATTCGTGTTGCTACCGCGTTCTTCGTTCGCTGCGAACACATTCACACAATCAGCTGTTGTGCTGTCAACGCAGCAACGCCAGCCACAACAGAAACGCCCCCCCCCCGACCACACCCTTCACTTTCTTCCACGCTCCACGACAGCTGCAGCAACAGCATCGCCCTCCTCGCCAGCGGTTTCGTCGACAAGAACACCCACCCCCAACACCACAGCCAGAGCTCTCGCGCCCACACACACACACACACACACACACTTCACGTGTACTGCACACCACAGCGCGCGCGCGTTGACTGCAGCTACAAGCGAAGCCGAGCAGCTGTACATCTTCTGGCCCCATGCGACAGGTTTGCTCACGTCGCCAATACCCTTGCTACCCGCAATCGTCGTTCATAAGCGTCACATTTGGACGCAATCGCCGCATCAAGGACCACCCCGGCTTGTCTTAACACCATGAGCTTTACAAGAGGCACAGATCCACCAGCATCGCACTTTGGCGCGTTCACACTCGGCATCAATGGTGGCGATGACCTGTGCATCGATTTGACTTGCCCACACCCATTGGCAGCGGGTGATGGTAACGGCGATGGCGGTGATGGTGACGGCAAACGGGGTGGTGTGCTGCCCCCTCCAGCGCCACGCCCCCAGCAGGAGGCTTTGCAGCAACAACAGCAGCTGATACACCTGCTGTTGTTGCTACCTCTGCTCCAACATGTGCAACAACCACCACAACAGCAACAACAGCAGCAGCAGCAGCGAAATGTGCAGCAACACCAACACCAACAACAACACCAGTGATTTCTGGCCCTCCTCCTCTCCTCTCGTTAGCAGTTGATGAATCATGCCCGTTTCTTTGTGTGTGTGTGTGAGTGTGTGTGTGTGTTTGTGTGTTCCTTTATGTGCATTCACTCGTGTGCATTTATTCGTGTTATCTTACTGATGCTTCCTCCGAAAGGTCTCTTGTCTCTAGCATGTTATGTTATGTTATGTGTGGCGTCACTTGCGTTCTCGTGTTCGCCCCAGCCCATCTTTCTTTATGCGACATGTTTTCTCCTCTCAACGCGACGTTCAAGCGCGCAAGAGTGCACACAGCGCCGCGCACACCCACCAGCAATTGTGTACGTCTTCCAAAGCACACACACGCACATCCACACACACACACACATCCGCACACGCACACGCACACACACATCGACACACACACACACAAACACACATCCACGCACACACACACACACATCCGCACACGCACACAAACACAAACACACACCCGCACACACACACACACAACACACACACACACACATCCACACACACACACACAATCGACGATTGTTGTTGCTTATCATTTGCTAAATTTCCACAACCACAGCGACAATGACAACGACGATGACAATGACAACGATGAGGACGCGCACGCGATTTCCACTCATCCTCGTCCTCCTCCTCTGCTGCCTCTTGTTCCCGCTGTTCGTCGCTGTGCAGGCAGAGGTGACGCTGAACGAGGACGAGCACGGCGCGTTCCACATCAACACGAACGACCCTGTGCGCCAGGCCGTACATTTCAATGGCGTCGATGTGCTGGCGTTGCTGCGTTCACAGCAGAGCACCATCGCCGGTCACGGCGCCGCCATCACGGAGCAAAACGCGTTGTTGGACCGGCTCGAAGCAGACGCGGCGGCGCAGACGGCAAAGGTGAAGCAGTTGAGGGCGGCGACGTGCCGCGCCTTCCCGCCGTCCGTGTCTGCCTCCGTGCTGTCAGGCCTCGGCGCCAACAGCAACGTGTGGTTTGAGGGTGTGATGGCGAACAACGGCCTCATCTACGGCATCCCAAGCGACGGCCCCGCCGTGTACATCATCGACCCCGAGACCAGGGCCGTCAACCTCGAGCTGCTCAGCCCTTTTCCCGCCTCCCCCATCAATCAGGAAACCTTCAAGTGGTCTGGCGGCGTGCTGGCGCGCAACGGCCGCATCTATGCCATTCCGCTCCGCGCCACCGCCGTGCTGGTCATCGACCCCGAAACACACACCCTTGACCTGACGAGCATGGCCGGGTTCACCCCGAACCAGCAAGGGCTGTGGTTTGACGGCGTGGAGGCCAACAACGGCCTCATCTACGGCATCCCCTACAGCTCCTCTGCGGTGCTCATTGTTGATCCCGACAACCACATCGCCGACAACACGACCATCGTCGGCCTCGGCGACGCCGCGTTCAAGTGGTCCGGCGGCGTGCTTGCAGGCAACGGCAAGATTTACGGCGTGCCTGCGGCAGCAACCAGCGTGCTCATCATTGACCCGGCCAGCAACACCGTGGACACGACGACCCTGTACACGGGGATGGCGGAAATCACCGCAAAGTGGAGCAAGGGCGTGCTTGCAGGCAACGGCAAGATCTACAGCATGCCCTACAACGCCCCGAGCGTCCTCGTTATCGACCCCGTCGCCAACACCGTGGACACCACCAGCATGGCAAACGTGTCACCGCACGGCACGGCGTGGCTCAGCAACGTTTTGGCCGACAACGGATACATTTACGCCGCACCTTTCAACATCTCCGCCATCGCCATCATCGATCCGTTCACCGACACCATTGACCTGACGCTCAAGCCCCTGCCGTCCACGGGGTTCAGGTGGACCAGTGTTGTGCGCGCGCCAAATGGGAAGCTCTATGCGCCGCCGTACTCCCGCAAGTATCCGTACCTCCTCATCATCGACCCTGGCTGCTGAGGGTTGCGCGAAACAACGAAACGAGGATCTGCGGGAACTGCGGGAACTGGGGAAAGCAAGACTAGAGGAGCTGAAGAGGGTGGTGGCTGCAAGTGAGAGGATAGGCTGCGTGACGGCGAGCCAGGAGCACAGAACTGCCCGTTTGTCTGTGTCTCAAGGATGAAGATAGCGTTGATACTGAAGGAGTTTGTTCTTGCACTCGAGTCAGTTGCGTATGCACTTGTATGTTAGTTTGAGTTTGTAGTTGCACACGAGTGCAATGCGATTACATATTCCGTTCACCTTTGTTGACGCAATGGCTTGAACATGGCGTCAAGCCTTCACTCCTGCGTTACCGAGTGAACACAAGCAAGCGCACACCAGCGAATGCGACGAGCGAGTGAAAGTGCTAGGAGAGTGAGAGTGAGACCAATGCAACAACAGTCACAGACAGAATAAAGGGATCACACACACACACACTTGCTTGTTTGTGTTTGGCTGGAATAATAGTGGAAGATATGGCTATTTCTCCACAATCGACAGACAGCCAGTCATGGACTTTGCCAACTTGCCAGACGTGAGTCCTGTCACATGCCCATGCATGCATACGAATGCACGCGAATGCTCCATGGTGTTGCTCCACGGGCCGCATGCCTCCGTTTCCCTTCCCCACACGCTCACGCAATTGCACCCTTGTTTCCAATCGGCAGTTGGGATCTGTGTCCCTCGTTCCCGTCCCTCAACAGCAACAGCAACAGCAACAGCAACAGCAACAGCAACAGCAACAGCAACAGCAACAGCAACAGCAACAGCAACAGCGAGGTGAGCAAGCACACGCCCAAGCCGAAACGGAAACCGCAGCGCCGCCGCCGGCACAGCTCTCGCTGTCGGTTGCACCCGGCGCCACAGATGACGACGATGGCAATACGGGTGGTGCTGCTGACAGTCACTCCAACAACACTGGAGCAATGCATCAGCAGCAGCAGGGTGGCGCAGATGCCACGGCGACATCTCCTTCTGCTGCAGCACCGCCGTCCGCTGTGAGCAGCAACACCACAAGCAGTGGGGCATCTGCAGACAGCGTGCATGCGCCGTTCTACTGGTTCTGGCAGCACTCCTCTGGAGCCTGGTCGCCATTCTCCAAGTTTGACTCGGACGCGCTCGAGGCTGCACTGCAGGCGCACAAGGACAAGGTGAAGGACGACGAAACGAACAATGGCGGCGCCCGTGGCCGTGACAGCGACATCGGTGGTGATGATGTGGTCGTTGTCACCGACAGCGGACGATTCACCGTGGATGTTCTGAAGCGCCAGCGGTCTCCACGCTACTGGGCTGGCCAGCCCAACCCCGTCGTCAGGTAGGGGCTGTGTGTATGTCTGCGTGTGCGTGCGTGTGTGTGTGTGTGTGTGTGTGTGTGTGTGTGTGTATGTGTGTGTGTGTGTGTGTGTTGGGTTTGGAGAGGAGGTTGTGGAAAGCGAGTCGTTGGTCATGCTTTCGTGGTGCATTCGATTGGTTGCACTGGTTTGGTTGTATATGTGAGCTGGTGCGTGCGACAGCGTGGAGCGTGGTAGACGTGATGGCAGCTTGTTCATCGCTCGCCTTAACGTTTTGAATCTGCTTTGCAGGAGCGCGTGGGTTGTTGGTCAGGGCCCGACGCTGCAGCCGCTGCCAGAGGAACACAGCGACATTGTCGAGGTGTGTGCCTGAGTGTGTCTGTGTGTGTGAGTGAGTGAGTGTGCGTGTGTGAGTGTGTGTGTGTGTGTGTGGTTAAGCCTGTATCGTAAATGTTGAGTTTGCAGGTTGACATTCATCGTCCTACCTACCTCTTCTTCACCAGCCACCACCCTCACCACAACCACCTCATCACCACCACCACCACCACCACCACGCCACCACCAACGCCATTAGATTGCGTATCAAGAGTCACGCAAGTCCGGGCAGTGGAAGAAGACCGTTGATCTTCCAAACCAAAACCGCGCTGTCCTCCATCACCAGGTGCTGCTGTCGTCGTAACGGCGGTTGCGTCCATCTGCTGTGTGTGTGTCTGTGTGTGTCTGTGTGTGTCTGTGTGTCTGTGTGTCTGTGTCTATGTGTGTGTGTGTGTGTGTGTCTGTGTGTGTGTGTGTGTGTGGCCACCAAACGATCACGCACCATTCTATCGACACAACACTGCAACCCTCATTCGTACACCCTGCCAATGCCCCTGTCCATACCTGCCCCGGTCCCTCCTCCCAGCACCTGTTTGTGTTCTACGAGTCGGCATCGTCTGAGCCGCGCCGTCTTGCCCGCGGCCTCGCTGATCACGTCGCACAGGGTACACGCACACACACACACACACACACACACACACACACACACACACACACACACACACACACACACACACACACACACACACACACACACGAGAGATGTGAATGTTTGCTGCTGTCAGCTGACACTGACATGTGCTACCCACTTACACCCGAACACCACCACCATCATCATGACCACCATCATGACCACCATCATCACGGCAGGGTCAGCCCCGAGTGAAGCGTTTGATCACCTCGTCCTCGTCATTGCCGGCCCAACACCAGAGCGACCGAACCTCAGCAGTCTTGGCTTTCACGTCACGAAGGACAAGGTGGTGATTGTGTGCGTGTGTGTGTGCGTGTGTGCGTGTGTGTGTGTGTGTGTGCGTGTGTGTGTGTGTGTGTGTGTGTGTGTGTGTGTGTGTGTGCGTGTGTGGGCGTGCATGGTTTTGCTTGCATATTGCGCCACATACGACGCGTCACACCACCACCACCACCACCACCACCACATCTCCAACGTCTGCATCGCGTTCATCAGGTTGGCGACGTGACGGACATCTGCGACGCCCTCCGCTCCATCGGGTCCGAGCTCATCGCCACCCACTTCGTCCGTGAGTCAAAGGCCATGCGATTGTCATTGTGGAGATGGCGACAGTGGCGGTGGCGGTGCATTGTGACTGAGTGGGGGTTGAGTGCTGGTGCGGTGCTGGTGCAAGCAATGTGAACTCTTCCCTGCTTGACCGAATGCTTACAATTCATCCCCTTCATCGTTTCCATCATCATCAAACACCGCCACTCATCATGGCCGTATGCGCACGCCAGTTACCGGCTCGTCCAAGAGTACGGGTCGGGTTGAGTTTCTGCCAATCCACTGGGAGACGCCTGCGTCGCTGCTCGACAGGTGCGTACCAGCGAGGCGCGCGCGCATGGTGACGTGTCTCTGTGTCTGTGTGTGTGTGTGTCTGTGTCTGTGTGTGTGTCTGTGTCTGTGTGTCTGTGTGTATGCGTCTGTGTCTGTGTGTCTGTGTGTGTGTGTGTGTGTGTGTCTGTGTGTGTTTGCATGCGCATGAAACGGTTGCATGATGACAACAGCTTGCGATCACACCACCACATCCACACACTGGACCTCTATCATCACTCCCTCCTCCGACATCGCCCTTCCCAATCCATTCCCTCCACTGTTGTGCAGCGTGCGCGATGTTCAGCTCAACACAATCCGAAACCTGCGTGGTTTTGTCAACGAAATCCTCGCAGACACATACGCCTACCACAACCACGTAAAAACACACAACACACATATTCGCTTGCTGTGTGTGACTGTGTGTGAGAGAGAGAGAGTGTGTGTGTGTGTGTGTTCTCTGTTTTCTCAAAGCACACACACACACATCCTCCTGGCCAACAGTCCTCAACCACCTCTCTGTGCACCACGTCACGGTTTCATCCATTCACCTCTTCACCATCATGGTGTCACGTGCCGGCAGAAATCGGCCATGGTCGCAGCCATCGCCGCAGCCATCAACACCACCATCGCATCGTTCCAGCACCACAACCCCTCGTTCACGGGCTCCATATCCGTCATGGCGCACGGCTTTGGGGGCGTGCTCGTCCACGACCTTCTCACCCCATTTGGCGATGCATGCGGCAGTGATCGTGATGTGGATGGTGGTGAAGGTGAAGGTGAAGGTGATGGTGCTGATGATGGTGATGGTGATGGTGATGGTGATGGTGGTGTCGACCCAGCAGTGGAGTTTCAGGCGTTTCTTGACGAGCACGGTATGGGATGGTATCTGCTCATGTGCTACTCATGTACCATTTGATCGGCATTCTCGCTTTTGCTGCATCTTGCTGTAATGACCCCACCCTCCCTGTCCCAACGCCCCATCGTAACACCTCACGTGCCCAAACACATCCCATTGAACACACACACACACACACACACACACACACACACACACACACACACACACACACACACACACACACACACACACACACACAACACTCACCCAC